CAAATGAGCACCATAAAAATATAAAAAACACTAGCATGGGAGTCACAGGGCACTTTGTCTATATTGCTCACTACTGTACACACAGTCCCATAATGTTGTTTGGCATACAGGATGAACTCAGAAATATATTTTGGATACATACACACATACATACTTCAGCTCAGGATCCTTCTCTCTTTACCCAGAAGTCCTCACGTCTCCCACAATTTCTACTATCTTCTATATGAGACCACACTCTCCATCATATCTCTACCCTGAAAAACTACTGCTTGTTCAATTTATAGGGCAATGTCTCCAACTCTACACTTCTAACTCTACACTCATCATCTCCCCTCTTCTTTCTCAAAAAAAAAAAAAATTTGTCTCTTTTCTGCCTATTTTCTCTAAAGGTATAATTTCTTATCTCCGGTGCTTACAAAATGGGCATCTTATCTGAATTCACTGCCTCTCTCAAGCCCTTGTGAATACTCTATCATTATTTCTGTAAATTTCTCCTCTGTGGTATTGCCCATATCAATTTTTTCGCTCTTTTCATCCCCATCATGGCTACGCCCATATTTCTGGCCTATAGACCCTGGACCTCAAGTTTTGCTGTAGTGTCTGAAATCTACCACCAGAGCTTCTCCTCTCAATCCATTTTGCAGATTTCCCCTAAAGGGGAATTTCAAAAATCATCATCATGCCCTATTCTGTGGCTACCTTAAGAAACGGTGCTTTCCATTGCTTGGAGTACACAGTTTAAATTTCTTAGCATAATGTTATTGAGGCCTGTCACTATAGACCCTATGTCTCAAAATTAAATATTCAGATTCCATGAATCTTGGTTAAGGGAAAGGTCAGTGAATGTCATCTAATCCAATTGTCCCTCTGATTTTGAAAATTACATTTTAGTCAAGCTCACTGAACAACATTCTTTCTACAATATTTTTACTTTTCTTACAAATATTCTCTTAATGTATTTCCCTCCTCAATAGCTATTTAAATCAAAGAGTGTAATCTTTCTATCTTTCTATCTCATGCCTGGATTTAGCACTTTCTCCTTCTTCTGAACTTTTGGCTAAGTTTTTATCTGTATGAAAGTTTGAAATTACTCACACATTGCATTGTCAATGTCCATTGATGTCTTTTTTTCCCCCACTTCCTGTCTTTCCTACAAACATTGTTTAGTCTGGTGTCCCCCTTTCATCTTGGGGGTGGCTGCCAGGGATTGACTTATCTGGGAAAATATGTTCAACCCGGCCAGGTCTATTGGAAGTGGCAGAGCATAGGCATTTTTTTTCCTTAATTTTTTTACTAACATATAATGTATTATTTGTTTCAGGGGTACAGGTCTGTGATTCATCAGTCTTATACGATTCACAGCGCTCACCATAGTACCTACCCTCCACTGATTTCTGATTTAAACTGCTCCCAGGATATGCTTTCTCTCCCCCAGATAAGCATTTTGTGTGTGTATAAAGAAATAGACAATCCTCATTATTCACAAACTCCATATTTACACATTTGCTTACTTGCTAAAATTTGCAAATCAATAACTGCAACACTTTCATGGTCATTCATGGACAGGCACAGAGCAGCGAGAAGTTTGAGTTGCCCATGAGGACATTCCCAGCTGAAGTCAAGTAAGGTGACGTTCTGCCCCCTTGATTCAGCTTTCCTACTGCCAATGTGTCCTTTTTACAGGCTCTTGCGAGCCACGTTTGCCACATTTTTGTGCTCCCTGTTGGAGATTCTGCTGTTTAAAATACCCCCCAGGTGTAGTGCTGAGGTGTTCTTGTGTTCCTAAGTGTAGGAAGGCTGTGGTGTCTTATGGAAAACTATGTGTTAGATAAGCTTCATTCAGGCATGAATTACAGTGCTGCGAAGGCGTGAGCTCAATGTTAATGAATCTACAATATATATTACTTCACAAATAAGGTGGCTTTAAATTGAAATACACACAAGACAAGATTATATTCTGATGAGCTGATAAAAATGTTGTGACCCAAAGCTCACAGGAAGTACATCTGTATTTCCCCTAGGAGCAGTGGTTCGGTATTCACTAATTCAGTGTATGTGGTGACTACTGCAAATAATGGGATTGACTGCCTGTGTGGGTGTGTGTGTGTTATGTGTATATGTATATATATGAGTGTGTGTATACATTAATATATGCATATATATGTGTGTGTATATAAATATAGTATATTTATGTATATAATTCAATCTTTATCCAGGGGGAATGAGAGGGCTCTCTCTGCGGTTCTCCCACTGGCTGGGCCCCTGCTCGGAGAGCAGTCATCAACCATGCTGCGGTTCGTGGTCTATGGCAACCCCAAGCTGAGAGCCCACTCCTGGGCTCGCTGATTGCAGCCGGCTCCCTCGCTCTGATGCCTGAGAACTCTGATGCACTCAGGCACCCCCAGTCTTCCTGTGACCCCGAGGGTCCTGAGACCACACTGTCCCACCTAGGATTCCACCCCACTTCACCACCTGACTCATGAACAAATGCTCAACATCACTCAGCATCAGGGAAATACAACTCAAAACCATAATGAGATACCACCTCACACCAGTCAGAATGGCTAAAATTAACAAGTCAGGAAATGACAGATGTTGGCGGGGATGTGGAGAAAGGGGAACCCTCCTACACTGTTGGTGGGAATGCAAACTGGTGCAGCCACTCTGGAAAACAGTATGGAGGTTCCTCAGAAAGTTGAAAATAGAGCTACCCTACAACCCAGCAATTGCACTACTGGGTATTTACCCCAAAGATACAAATGTAGTGATCTAAAGAGGCACCTGCACCCCAATGTTTATAGCAGCAATGTCTACAATAGCCAAACTATGGAAAGAGCCAAGATGTCCATCAACAGATGAATGGATAAAGAAGATGTGATATATATATGTGTAGATAGATAGATAGATATAGATATATATAGATGTATTACTCAGAATATTACTCAGTCATCAAAACAAATGAAATCTTGACATTTACAATGATATGGATGGAACTAGAGGGTGTTATGCTAAGCAACATAACTCAATCAGAGAAAGACAATTATCATCTGATCTCACTCATGTGTGGAATTCAAGAAAAAAAAGCAGAGGATCCTAGGGGAAGGGAGGGAAAAATAAATCAAGATGAAATCAGAGAGGGAGAAAAACTGTAAGAGACTCTTAACCATAGGAAACAAACTGAGGGCTGCTGGAGGGGAGGGAGGTGGGGGGATGGGGTAACCGGGTGATGGACATTAAGGGGGTCACATGATGTAATGAGCACTGGGTGTTACATAAGACTCATGAATCACTGATATCTACCTCTGAAATTAATAATACACTATATGTTAATTAATTGAATTTAAATTAAAAAAATAAATCTTCATCCAGTAGTGAATATAAAAACACATATGCTCTCATTTAAAGAGATGAAGAAAGAAAAGAGGAGGGGATAGGAGTGAGAATGGAAACAGTGGGTGAGAAAAGGGAGAGACGGGGGAAAAAGTTCATGCCTTTGATGTTCCTGTGCTGCCATCATGTTCCCCAAACTGGGTACCCCCTGTAGGTGGTATTTAATACGTACAAAAATGATAACAATAACATCCACAAATTAGCGTGATTATTAATGATAATAAATGGAATTATGATGCTGATGATAAATCTGCTCAACGCTCATACTGTGACAGACTTTGAGTAAGTACAATTTTGTGTGTTATTTCCTTAATTCCTAATAATTTTGTGGAGATTCTGCAATTTTATCCTTATTACAGAAAACAAAAAAAGAGTTTGGATAAATAAAGCCCCCAAGGAGTCCACAGATAGCAAATCGTAGAAAGGAATTTAAATTGGACTCTGATGCCAGTGGCATCTCAACCACTTCCTACCCTAACTAAACTGCAATCTGTCTTCCTAAATCTAAATTGTTGGAATTTAGCCATCTGGGAAGGGGCAACGAAAAAAGCACTGGATCTGAGGATATCACAGCAGAGCTATACATCTGATCTAAAGCTCTTCTGTATTTTTTTAGGTCTGTCACCTTTCAAATAAGCTTTTCTTCTTTTCTTTTCTTTCATGAATGAAGTCAGGAAGGGTTACTCATATAGAAGAATGCTTTCTGATACTGGTCCTCTCAGATGTATAAGGACAAAAAGTAGGTCAAAGCACTAAATTTAGGGTTTTGGGAAAACATGAAAATTATAAAATTGATTTGGGAAGCTTTTCCTTACGTTACAGAGCCAAGGGGTTTTGAAGTCAGATGAATGTGAGTTCTAATGCAAGTCTCACCTTTCCCAAGCATTATATAATTGTGGCCAGTTAGGATCAGTTTTTGTATCTGTAAGGAATTACAATTATTTATAGAAGTAGCTTTAATAGAGTATCCTATTGCCTCATTCTCAGATTGAACTAAAAATTCCACATTGCCAAAAGCTTTAAGAGTTTTATAATCATAACAGTTTTGGGGATTATAATAGAAAACAGAAGAAAAACAGGGCTAATTTTTTTTTAAATCTGACACCATCAAAAGAGATCGAAACTCTTAATTCTAAATGATTTTCCCTCAAGTTAGATGGGAGGGGCATAACTGAAGAATGCTAGAAAATATTTGTCTTCAAAGAAGTTACAGGCAGCTTTGACAAGCCAAATTAAAAAAAAAACAAACAAAAAAAAAAACAGCAGCTCAGCAAAACTCCTCCTGTCCCCTTCTCATGTCTTTCACTACAAAATCTGTGACTTAAGAAGCATGTGAAAATCACTCCAAAAAGCACAGGGCACATTTGGTTCTCTAAGCTAACAACAGAAAGACTTAAGGGCTTACAATGAAAAGATTTTATAGAAATTTTAGATATTTTACTTTTCATGAATGAGCAGAAGAAGGTCTGATATACCCCGAAACCACCTTCGATTTATCACATTTTCTAATGACTTTGTGAGCTAACCTAATTACTCTTTCTCCAGCTAATGCATCTTAGTAGACCAATTTCCCTGTTTGCATAATGCTGGTGGAGACCAAGGCCACTTACCCACTGTTGATGTCATCAGCCCTGAGACTTTTTCCAAGGATATCACCATCACTCATATATCCACCAACGTCAACTTCAGAAGACATGTCCAGGTCACTGCTTGCTTTCTCACTCATGTCAACTTGGGTTATGTTTCCTAGTCGAGAGACGGCTGCTCGACGGAGAGGTGTTGTGTACATGAACCTCGAGGGGTCTGTGTGAATGAATCGGCTGGTACCACTGCGGGAGTAGCCAGCCCCCAGGGAGGGAGCATCTCCAGCCTGAAGTCGAGGACACGCCTGACCCAACCTCCAGGTCATGGGAGTGGGTCGGCTTGTCAAGTTGGGTATGGTCCTTCCATTCACTTCTGTTGTCACAGTGCTGTCAAATGTTGTCTCCAGGGTGCTGGCAAACAAATGAAGAAAGACCTAGACTCGGATTGACTTGGGATCATAGAGCAAGAATACATGAAGACTGGAAAGGCTAGGGCTGACTCATTTCTTAGAAGTATGTCATTTTCATGAAAGTCAAATTATGCTTTCATGATGAGATGCAAAACACCTCTGCAGATGTCAAACTGTGGGATGGAGCATTCATCTGAAGTTTGTCATTTTGCTGTTTTGCTTTTGAAAGAAAGGCCATTGTCTCATTTTAGATAAAGCAAAATTGTGTTTCACAGTTTCAACAAACCTTTCACCTAACTCCAAAAGCTTCCCAGAACTACTCTGGAGGTTGGGTACAATTATGTTTCTCTCTATACCCCCCAGCCCCCACTCCTGCCCCAGATGCATTTCAACTGCAACTTCTGCCCACTGTTGTTTGTCACGGGCATGCAAATCTACCTGGTAGTGATGCTGGTAGTTTCAGGAGCTAATTCAGTTTGAAAGGGACACACTATGGAAGAAGAGATGGATGGGAGAAAAAAAGTCCCTGGGTATGTGCTAAGAAGTTGCCAGCTGAATGTCATGTAAAATTTAAGTGAGAAAATAGTAAGGGAAAATTCAATTATTTCTTTATCCTTATAAGAGGTTAAGTGCTTGGTTGTCATTTTTTTCTTTATTGGCCCAAAGATATATAGAATTGAGAAAAAAAAAAAAACCTGTGGCTTATCTGGGTCCCACGAAGACTGGACATAGTCTCCTCTAAATTTTGCCTCAAATCTGCTATGTTTTTAACTGTTCTCATTCTCCTTGTTTCAGGGTCTTCACCTAGAAAAGTAACATAATAATATATTTGTCAATCAAGTCATTTACTGATATCAGAATAATTGTATACATAGATAAGTAATATAAATTCTTCTCCTTAAAAATATAATAATAGGAAATTCCAAATGCTTACTATCTGAAAAGTATAATTCTTCTTTCTACATTCACATTCAATAAAATGTGAATAGAAACAAATGTAACATTACAAGTAATAATTGATCAGGAGGGATGATAATACAATAATACTTTGTAGATCCATGACCTTAATCATTGCAAGGTGACAGTGATTAATTCAGAAATATACTATACAGTACTCCATATTACTGAGCTTAATTTAAAAGTCTGAAATTATTTGGATCCTAATTAATCTCATAATTACCTATTTCTAGGTCTAATCAGAATAGTAAGATAAACTTACCTTGTAGCAATTAAACATTTGGACTCTGGGGAATAAGATAGTGGCCTTTTCTAATAGAAGCAATACCTTTGTAAGTCTTCTATTAACATTAGATGGCTTTATTTTTAACTATTTTCCACTTTCTACAGGGACTCACAGCAACCCCCTGTGACACTAGAGTTCCAGTAAAGTCCCTAGCATCTAAATCCAGCATGTGTTTAACAGACATGAAACCAGCAGCTTTGCCCGGGTGACAAATGCTGGCCTTGCTCAACCACTACCTATCATTTGGAGGCAGAGGTGACATTAAACCAGTTTGATTATGGACATGTAATACTTCCAAGCCAGTGGCCGTTTGTAACTGGTCTATCTGGATACTGAGAAGAACATGGGGAGACAGTAGAGGAAGTACAAGAAATTTTAATAAGAAAGAAAGATGAAGGAGGAAAGGAAGGGAGGGAAGAAGGGAGGTAGGGGGAATGGATGGGTTAAGGGGGGAGAAGGTATGAGAAGGAGAGGGGAAGAGAAGAAGGCAAAGGAAGGGGATGGTGGGAAAGAGAAGGGAATGGAAGGAAAGGAAAAACATCAGGGGAAAGTGAAGGTAGGAAAGAGCATGTATTAAACTCCTGTATGAAAACGGTCGCACAGACAAGTCAAGATGCATTCCTACAGTCTTTTTCAAGAATACCGGTAGATATTTAACGTTTTCATTCTCTTCCACAGAATTCATGCCAGATTAAAAAAATATATACAGCAAATACACCCACTTAACATGTATAATATAATCATAGCGTTGGTAGGGATTTCAAAGAACGTCTCGCCTTACTTCTCAGCCAGTGAGGAAACTCATCTATGCCTCACTTGGGAGATAGCCATGTGCCTCTGCCTGAAACCTCTAAGGCTGGAGATGCATCCTCTCCAGGAAGGCATGACTCCTTCTACCAGGGGACAGGTCTAGTTGTGAAAACATTTCTGAGGGTGACTCATTTGCCTCCCTTTCATTTCCATCCAGTGGTCCTAGGAGCTGTGGAAGGTAACTGAACAATCTATACTACCTTCACCATGACCCCCAGAGACTGGAAGACACCAACTGCCCATTCCTCTATTTTCTTCTTCAGCCACCCATCACCACATTGTTCATTCTTCCTCATCCCCACTGGTTGCCAAAACAACCACCATTCTGCTGCTGGTCTGTAAATCTCTACGTTTTAATTGAGAAAATATTCGAATGATTAAAATATGCTTAACAGTAGCATTATTACTTCAAACTCAGAAAGTATAAAAAAAGTCCTTAATATATTGTCAAGATAGAAAAATAGGTGTTGTGCCCTCATGCACATGGCATAAAATTTTCCTACACTAATTCAAGGCATGCAATCCTTAACCTTATAAATTAACATCACTTTAAAACTCAGAACTGTTAATAACCCTTGAGATTCTAATCATAATCTCTCCGGAACTTCTTCTCATCCTTCTCATAAATAGAGCATATTTGAGAAATGGCTAGGAAGAAGTCCACTTTTTACTTCCAAGTAATCTGGTAAACCCCTGAAGATAAAGAAGGCGTATGTAAGGAAAATCTTAAAGGGCAGAATATCACTGCAGCCGAGGGAAAAGCAGAAGTAATTGGAGAGATTTTACTCCAAGTGGGCAAAAGAAATAGTGAAGAATGAGACAAAATTGGAGAAGCCAATACCAGAATATAAGATTTCATACAGTAACAAGCCTAAGTTTCTAAGTGATGGTAAGAATTGACAAGTCTTAAAGGAGGGAAGTATTGAGATGACCTTCACTGGAGGGAGGAGGGAATATAGTTATTGACCTTACACAAGGTCAAAGAATATACCATTACATGTCCCCTGTCCCTGGCTCCCTTCCCTCTGTGAGAACTCTTACACTGTAATCAAATTGCATCTCAACCACTTAACTGCCATAATATTAATAGCATTGATATTTGAATTATTTTCAACACTTTCTTAATATAAATTATAAGAACATTGTATTTTCAGAAATTCCATTTCACTAAATTTTTTTTCACATCTTCAGCTTTTAAATGTCCTTCTTCTGGGGTTCCTGGGTGACTCAGGTGGTTAAGCACTGGACTCTTGGTTTCGGCTCAGGTCGTGATCTCATAGGTTGTGGGATCGGGCCCCACACAGAGCCTAGAGCCCAAGTCAGGCTCCCCAGTCAGCACTGAGTCTGCTTGAAGATTCTCTCCCCCTGCACCTCCCCACCCCCATGTGCATTCTCTCTCAAATACGTAAATATACCTAAATAAATAAATAAATAAATAAATAAATAAATATCCTTCTTACAATCCAACAGGCATCTTAGATCCTTGGTTTTTCCAACTGCATCCATTTTTGTTTATATAGCTTCTCTCATATTTCAGAACCACAATCTCCTTTCCTCCTTTGGTTTATTCACTTATATGGCCCTGCACTGTTCATGACAATCAAACAGACCTTTTCCTCCCAGTCCTTATTGAGCAAAACATAATTGCTGCCTCTTTCATGTTATGGAAGATAACCACCAAGTCAAAATTTATTGCAGTGAATGTTTTCAATGACCCACAAAAGTCAAAATACAATTAAATACACTTACAAACCCCTTTAGGATTACACAAATCTGAAACATCCTATAAATTTGTATCCAAATGATATCTAGAAGATTGGGGGAGGGAAGGGAGTCTCAACGGAAAAGGCCAAATGTAAAAGCACAAGTAAAATGACATATTTAGTAACATAAAAGCTAGTAACATAAAAAAATACATATGATAAATTCATTTAGTCACAAAAGTGTTGTATCTCCTCTCACTTCCATAATCTCAAAGCCACTGAGGCTCAGTTGAGACCTGCTCTTTGCCCAACTTAAAGAGGACACTTTATAAGCAATGAGAAAGCAGTTTGCAACTATGTTAAAAATTCAAAGTGAATTCTAGAATATACCATTTTGGAAAACGTGTGTAAGTCCTTACCATCCCATCTGACACTCAGGAGGCTTCCTTCAGGAAGAATAATGGCTTCTACATTTTTGCTTAGGGATAGATGGGCCACTTAATCTGTGTGGTCCTGCTCTTGCTTTTTAGGCTTTAATTATATACATTGTAATTAACACTGCCAGTACTGTCATCTTTTAATAGGAAGTCAAATTATATATGAATGAACCTGATTCACAGGGAATTATGTCCTCTACACCACCTACTTTGCAAATGTTATTATTTAGAGTCCAGCTGCCTGATTTATTTTGAGAACCCTAATTTTATAGATGACCCCAACAGTGATTTGGATGGAAATTTTTCAAATCCTCTTAAGTCAGATACTTTGGGTAGAAAATAGCCAAAACATGGCCAATTACCTTTTAAATATTCTCTTATATAGTTATAGCACAGACCCTAGTCTGATCTATTAGGATGCTTAAGATTAAGGAGTTGAACTCAAGGAACCCTGCCTAAAAATTAACTTGGAAGAGGCCATTTTGAGTCAGAAACAGAATCTAGTCAAGCACGTGGCAGAAATCCTGAAATTCCTATGTGCTCTGGGCTTGGATATATTTACCAACTTAACATGCATCATTATTTAAGAAATTGCATCGGAGTGCTTCATTATCCTGATATGATTATTCATGTCACAACTATTTGAAGAAATTCTTCCTTACTTTCTCACTTGCATTTTTGAATACTGGCATAAAAGTTAGAGTGGGGGAAGCTGTAAAAAGAATAATCCCATAAATATAATAAGCAGATGCTCAGTTTAAAAACCATGGAATACACAGACTTCTATTGAGAGATTACCCTCTGACAGCAATGCTCCAAGTTATTTATGCACAAAAAGGCATATGTCATCAACACACCCACATACAGCATGGTATAATTTAACAGAGCAACCATCAAATATTGCCCAGGGACTGCTTTCTGTTCATATCTTTGAGAATACTTATATATAAGGTACTTAGAACAAGATAAATGCTACTACTTCAAAGGCAAAAGATGAATATTATTTGATTCTGCAGTTTCAGAGGATCAAAAAAAAAATAAAAAGATCCTTAAGAAGACTCCCTCTCATGCTTTTGTACTGCATAGAAGTCTTTCATGAGAAACAGTTCATCACAGAAATCATACAATGGTGAAGAAGTAACTCTTCAGTGTCTGAGCACCTGGTGTATTCAGATTCAGATTCAGAAATCACTATTCCCACAACTGTGGAAACATGACTCTTTTAAAGCCAAACTGACATGAAAAATTGAGCAATATTTGCCTCTGCTGTCTCTCTAAGCTTTCTTCTTCTAAAGCTGGTTCACTAAGATTCCAGAAAGCCTCATCAAGCATCTGGTAACAGGAGGTTCTACACAGAGAATAAAAACACATCCACATTTAGCATCAGTTGTATGAACCAGAAACAAAGAGATCACTGGTGAGGTTTAATTCTTTCCAATATGGGGAGTCTTACATGAAGTTTTCTTGTAAACATACATCTAAGCAACATATGAGGTGGTCAATGGTTTAAAACTTACGGATTTTTGAAGAAGGGACTGTGTTATGTAAATGCACTTTGGCAGAACACTCAATGAAACGTAACAACTAAAATGGATACAGTTTGGCTATTTA